TTCCTCCATGGCCTGTGCTCCAGCTCCTACCTCCAGGTTCCTGCCCTGAATTCCTACTTTGGGCTCTCTGAAAAACTGTGACCTGGAAGATATAAGCCTAATAAACCCTTTCCTCCCCAAGTTGGTATTGGTCAGAGTATTTTGTCACAGCAATGGAGAACAAACTAGGACAGAGGCATACAATCTCTATTTAGAATTTTGAGTTTCTCCAGTGACCACTCTAGCAGTGGTCTGATGGAATGTCAGTTCTTTTTAAGAATACATGTGTTGGGGCTGAAGAGATGGCTCAGTGGTTCACAGCACTGGTTGTCTTTGCAGAGGATCCAGGTTCGATTCTTAGCACCCACATGACAGCTAACAACTGTCTGCAACTCCAATTCCAGGGGATCAGACACCTCTTCTGACCCCTGCAGGCATTGTACAACATGGGTGCACTCACACACATGCAGGCAATACACTCACACATAAAATAAAAATAATAAAATAAAAAACAATTCCAGGATCATGTAGTTTTCTTTTTTTTTTAAAGAATTCTTAAAATTTTAATTTTTATTTTATATGTATGAGTATTATGCCTGCATGTATGTAAGTGCACCTGTGTTGTGCAATGCCCGCAGAGGTCAGAAGAGGGTGTCAGAGCCCCTGGGACTGGAGTTACAGATGGGTGCTGGGAATTGAACCCAGGTCCTCTGCAAGAGCACCCAGTGCTCTTAACCACTGAGCCATCTCTCCATCCCCTTGTTCCTTTTTTTTTAAATTAATTTTTGCTTGAGATCAAGTTATTTGCAGCACAGGTCACAGGTACTCCTCAAACTTCCCACTGGCGTTTGATGGCCTTGAACTCTTGATTCTCCTGTCTCTACCTCCTAAGTGCTAGGATAATGAGTATGTACTATCTATCATGCTTGGCTTTTAAGAAGTAATTAATATTTATTTATTTGTACTTATATTATTCATTTTTAGAATATCTTTCTCTTTAGAGAAAAGTATCTCTGTATTAGGCTGACCTGGGACTTATTATATAACCCAGGCTAGCCTCAAACTCATAGCAATCCTTCTGCCTCAGTCCTTCTGACTACAGCCACAAGCAGTCACATCTGTCTTAGAATGTCTTAATCTTTCACTAATTATTTATTCTTGGAACTGGTTTTCTCTCTAGGCTGTTTTAAGATGCCTAAAGATAAGCTAGCTGTCTTTGCCTTCTGAGAAACTGGAACAAGTTCTTAGCACTTGAGCCAGAGGGCATTTGAGGGGTATCAGAATCACATGAAATTATTTCTGTCCAACCAGGCAATGTTCTGGGTTCTGAAGGCAGAGGTTAATCAAATCCAGTCAATACGCTCAAGCTGCTCACAGCCTAGTTGGGAAAACAAACAATAGGAACAGCATCAGTATAGTAGAACCTGTGGAGAAGTATTCATAAAGAATGACTAACAATTGTGCAGGGATGATCAGGAAAGGCCTTTCAGAGGTGGTGATATACAAATTTAGTATTAAAAGGCAAGCAGGAGCCAGGCATGGTGGTACACATCTGTAAACCCAGCGCTCAGAAAGTAGAAGCAGGAGGATCAGGTGTTTAAACCCTGCCTTTGGCTACAAACTAATTTTGAAGCCAGCCTGGGGTTTGAGAGACCATGTCTTTAAAAAGAAAAAAAAATATGTATTTATATGGGGCTAGAGGTATGATTTAGTTGTTAAAATCTTTGCTGTGCAACCATAAGGATCTGAGTTGCATCCCCAGAACCCATGTAAAAGCAGGGCATAGATATATTTGCCTATAATCCCAACACTGGGAAGACAGAAGACAGATACCCTGGAGCTCACAGGTCAACCAGCCTAGCCAAATCCATGAGCTCCAGGTTTGGTGACAGATCCTGTCTCTCTCAAAATACTACTACTACTACTACTACTACTACTACTACTACTACTACTACTAGCAGTAAGATAGACAGCAATAGAGGAAGATGTCTGATGTCAACCTCTGGCCTCTATGTTCATATACATGTATGCACAAATAAGACAAAGTAAACAAATAAGACAGATAAGACAAAGTAAAATAATA